GACACAGCAATGTAATTCCTTCACAAAAGACCTTGTTTTGGTCAAGCAACAAAACAAAACCCTTTAAAATTGGAACGGAATCTTGTCAGCTTAAGTCAAATCAACATGAAGTGGGCCGAAATGTCCGATTTGCCGTTGAGAATAGGACATTGTGTTTCACCAATTCCTGACTTAACGGCGAATGGATGTCAATTTTGATTCAACCCTACTTACCATCTCTCGAAAGTTCAAGTCACTACCTGCTCCAAAATGAAGGCTTAGGAGGCCATGTCTTTATGAGCATATGTCATTTAAATGAACTCAGACCATCAAAGGATAAAAAAGAGGGATTTGCGGGTAGGAAGAGGACGCAGAAGTGGGCACAATGGAAAGTAAGGTGTCAAGGGAAGAGAGAGTGGGGATCTGATCCCTCCTGAAAAAGACAATAAATTCCCTTCTCGGGTGACAATTCGCACATCTTGAAAAATCTGACCGTCATTTGGAGTTTTAATGCTTTTGCTGATAAGTACATTTCTTACACACCCTTGCAATAAATCACAAAATCCTATGAGTTGAACGGTTCTGTATAGAAGAGGGAGAGAGGTGTTCAAGGATAAAAAGCAATTGGTGTAGCAAGAGGGGCCCTGTAGCTCTAGACAATGCTATCATCTCCATTGAGCATTACTTTCTCCCCATTCCCACCCCCACCACCCCCAGCACCACCTCCAGCGTTTCTAGGGGCAGCAGGAGCAGTAATAAATCCAATTTCAGGGTGATGGTGCCTTAACCCCGAGGCCTGTGGATGGCCCAGATAGTTGGGTATTGGTTCAATGTATTTCATCTCCTCCGCAGCCACCACGTCTTGTGTCCGTTTGTGGCGATATATGTGCCAGAGTTCACAGGCCAGATCGCCTGCCATCATATCGCCCACATTCATGGAGATGAGACGAATAAGAAAAATGCCGTCTGGCCGTAAAAAGTTCTCCACAAACTTCTTTGAGGCGCTTCGATCGGTGTCCTTCATTACACACATAATTTTCAAGTAGCGACGGATGAATTTGAGCCGGTAGCGCGCGAAACCCATGCGCAGGAACCAGTTGATAAAACTTATCAGTGTTATGATGCCCAGCATACAGTGCCAGAACCAGAGGAAAATGAAGATCTTCTCCAAAAACATGTTCAACGGAAGGACGCATTGAATTGTATACCTTAAAAGGTCAAAATATAAGCGGCAATTATAAACTTTGAAGGTTTGTCAACTATGCCTCCATCAAATTACTCAATTCAGTCACAACACATTCAACTTATCAAATCATTTCAGGTGATAGGAAAACCATAAAAATGTTATGTCATTAAATAAACACTGTGAAATATTAATCAACGTATAGCTTAACCTAATACTGTATAAATATCATTTACAAATAGTAAAAGAACTTAATAAAGACACTATTGTATCTCCTCTGATAACATTACTTCTATCTGAGGGTCCACACAACGTGGTTTGGGTTAATCAAAACCGGTCAAGCCAGGCTCTTTCCCTTTTACTTAACCCCTCCAACTAGGAGAGGCTATCCACAAAGTAAAAATTAAAGCTGGAAGACTTAGAAAAATTAAAACTATAAATGAGCATGGGTGCGTCATTTGCCCAGGTCTTACTAAAATTGTTACAATTGTGCTTCCATTTTCACCCCTTAATTTTTTACCTCCCTTTAGCTTACGCTAGTGTAGTTTTAATGGTTTACTTATTAATCAAGTCCTACTTTTTAGTTTTAAGGGCCCTTAAGGTTCCATCTTTGTGCTGTGCCTTGAATAAAAACCTCCAATCCATGTTATTAGGTTTCCCCTTTTAGTTCTACTGTCCATCAGTAATGCGTCTGCGACTTCAGTTTGTCCCCTCTATCTCCAAGAATCCAGACGCGCCACGTGCAGAACAAGGAAAGAACTGCACTTCTAAAAGTTAAAATGTCCTAATTTTCGGTGCTGAGTGATTAACTACTTGATGGTCCCTTAAACGAGGAATAAGTAATCACCTTAGCAAATACCATAATTCTGTGAATTCGAGGATGATAGTAGCAACCAAGACGACTCTATCTGTAAATAATTTGAGAAGCTCTTGACAAAGCTGTCCACGGCGCCCATGGAATCCTTATGTGAAACAAACGCACAATACTCCTAGCACATCTTTACTAGCAAAAAAAAGACAAACTACACGTGAATAGGTAGGGGAGGAATGAGAACAATAAGCCCGAGATGCATTGATGCGAACTCTTACCTCCAAGGCAGCGTTAAACTGCTGCCTTTTGGCTAATGGTCTTACGACTGCCGTTAATCGCAAATGATGCCCAGTACATTCTGTAGTGCATGAATCTTTTAAAAGGACAACAATTTAAATGGAAGAGTTTAATTAAAGGAAAGAGTGACTCGGAAATCATCTAAAACCAAGGTTATACCAGTGCGATTTTATTGGTAGGTGTTTATCCCATCACCGACCACATTGTGACGCCCGACGAGGGCTGCTAATCAAAAAATGCTCAAAACACAAATCGCCAAATAAGGAGAGAAAGATGCATAATAAAAGTCTTTTGCTTTAACCTTTGTCGTTGCCTTAATCATACCCAAAAAGCAGTGCTTCTGCTTTGTGGTACAGGCACCTTCAAACCCCTTCTCCACGTCAATGGAACATATTCCGTTATGGCGTTGTTCTTTTTTTCATCTTTTGCGAAGTTTTTGGAAGCTAAATAACACCTTCTGTTAAATTTTATCTCGAAAATGTCATTAAGGAGCAAAAAAATATGATTTGCCGAAATTGTGCAGCATCATCACCGATTTACTTTAGCAGGAAATCTCCTGACTTTCATAAATTTGGCCACTGTATGTTTGCCGTAAAAAGGAGGACTATTTATTTTCAAAACAAATGTGACAGTGAGGCAGGTTTGATGTCAAAAAAATGTTTTTTTCCACTCATTACCCAAACATCATTTAACGATTCCACCCTGATCGGATTACTTTCTGATGAGATTTATTAAGTCTGACAGTTGGGACAGCCCAGAGATGTCTGCTGTTATTAGCCGTCCGAAAAGGCGATTAAAAAGACCCTTTGGAGCAAAAAAATAAGCCAGCTAGAAGGCGATTTACCTTCGCTTTAATCTACAACCGGTGATCAGTAATGCGAAGTGCGAGAAGTCATTATTACTGTAATGCTGTAAACCACCTTGTAATGCTTCTGCAGCTGACAAAAAATCTTCGAATTAATTTGCCTTCAAAATTTGATGAGCACCTTTTATTAGCACCTCGGCGAATTGCAGAGTATGACGTGAGAAGGATATTTTCGGTAGAATACGCCTACTAATATGGACCCTAAAAAATAGTGACATTTGGCATTTACACTACTCTTGCTGTTATATTCGCCAACGTTTCTTTTGAAATCAAAAATCAGTCATTTTATTTACACCTTCGACGTTGTGGCATTGCTAATTCTTGGTCGATTTGTTCTTCTTCCAGTGATGAGTGAACAGATGGCAGTTTAAAGTTGGCTGGATGCGTGAAAGGCGTCGTTATTGTTTCTACTTGGATGCTGCGATGGGAGCGAAGGCAATTGCCAAACAGTACTTTTAAGAGAAATAGCTCCTACCTCGAAAGAGATGATTATTGGTACAAAACTGTAATATGTCACCTTTTCTCCGACAGAAGCTTGATTTGCAATCAGGTTTGATTTGTGCGTTCTTAGTTCCTACTTGTTTCAGTAATATGCGAATATAATTAGAAGTGAAGGTCTCGAGTGTTAAAGAGAAACACAAATGGAACACTATAACATAAATAAATGTTAAAAGTAAACTTTAAAAAAGTTTTGCTGCGTCCTAGTGAAAAGTATTTGTATGCAAATGAGCAACAGCGTTTGAATAGGCGGAATTGCGACCGCGCTAATCAGTAGTGTGATATGCCTCAAGCACTTTTACATTTACGCTCGCATCCGTTGCTGTCAGAAGAAGGACTAAGTGGAAATTTATGCAAATTTGTATTCCCTTTGTTGCAAACGCCCTCTGTTGTGAGGAGTTTTGACCTAAGTGGACAAGTGAGCATGCAATGCGTGCATATATCATCCCTAGTTGGAGAGTGTAGCATCGCTAAAGACGCCATGCTAATTCATTTTCATATAGAAGGTGTTTATTTTTGCTACGTTCTACCAAGATATCCTTGTTCCATTTATGGCCGAAAATGGAATTATGGTGGGTGAGTGCCTTGCCGTCCATTCAAGGTAGGATTTATAAGGTGGTGACGTAAATCGTTGTTATCATTTCCACCAACCTGCTTAACGAACAGGATAATTTAGAGCCTTGATAAGGTGTTGCTCGGCTTTAACTTGGGGAAGGAGTGAAAAGGAGGAGTGCAAAGATGTCATTAGGTACTAGGCATTCTGTAAACTTGCAGCATATGTTAAGGTGATTTTGGTCTCACAGTTTAAATCGAAATTAACATTGACAAACCATGGTAAAACAGAAAGTGCTTGGAGATATAGAAGCATTTGATGGTGCCGCAATCAATCTCTTCTCAGTGTCTCATTCTAACTAATAAGAATTCTAGAGGCAGCTTCAAATCTTGTACCACTTATACACGCCTAAGATGTCCCTTAGAAGGTATTGGTGCAAAGTAATCAAGTCTGTTGATTCGTTGTAAAGCTTTAATTTTTGTCAGCTTTTCCACTTGCACACCCTGGTGCTAAAGGGCTCGATCATCAAAATCTAAGTGGACGGGCTGATATTCGGGACATCCTGGTAGCTCAAGCCAATCCATTTTCTGTCATGATGCTGTGACTTCTGCCACTCATTGCACCTCACTAGTAGCAGCGGAAATGGAACATAAGCCTACTTGATAAGTATCCACGATTTTAATCATTGCATGCCAAATCTTAATCCTATTCAGTGGGGATGAAAGATCTATACCGACCCATAGCTGAAGGTGACTGTAAACCAAGTAATAACGTTAATTACAAATTTCTCTACCATATAAAAGTGCCAGTCACTTAAACTCCCAATGCCTCTTATCTCTGCCTACTGGATAAATGGGATCACCTAAATGTGTGGGTGGTCGTCAATTAAGCAAGAGTAAGGTAGCAAGCTAAAAAACAATACTGTGTTAGCACAAACGATCCCCAAAATTTGTTCGTTATTAAATAACGCTGCCGACGTTCTTAACACTATCTATAAATAAACGTGTTGGTCAAAATAACTTCCCCCTTCCCGTTGTCCACTGTAAAGGAAGCATAACTTTAGACTCAGTAAAATTGTCAAAAGTGTCAGTGCCATTGTGGTCAAATACGTCAGCCGCACACAGCTATGATTGACAGCACGACTCCCTCGTCGGTAGGTAGTAGTGCAACACCGACTGTTTTGGGGGCTCATATCGGTTATTAACAAAAGGTAGCATCGAGAACAACATCCAAGATGTGGAAAGCGCGAGGCGATGCTACAGATTTTAACTATTCGCTTGCGTATTCCAAACACCAAGGGTTTGGCGATAGTATTTCTTGTGGTAGGAATGACCTAAGAGCCTAGTTGGAAGTAATTCAGTCTTTCTATGCGTCGATAATCCCTTTTCAATTCCAGGTTTTATGACTTTTACTGGCTTCTGCACTACTCAAGGCGCCGTACCCACAAAAGGATGTTTCTTTACAATCGTTAATTTAATATGCGGTATCTAATGTTCTTTGAGTTGCGTATTTGGCAGAATGAAGTTCTATCAGCCTAACTACTTACGTGTATGAAAGATTGTTCGCAATAAGGACACTTTTCTTGTTTCGCATCAACGATTTTCACTTAAACTTGACGCGCTAAAATTTTGGGTGCCCACACAGTGGCAGAGAAATTGGATCTTCTTGTGCCAAAAGTGATTTGGCTCTAAACTTGAAAAGGAAATGAAGGCAATTGATGCACAGATCAAATTAATGGTGCCCGAAACTTAATCCACCTTCTAACCGCATGGCTATTTCGAGGAATATAAGGACAATGCACGATCTATCTGAGCGTGGAAGCAGAAATAAATGGTTGAAGGATCATAAACCCTTCCCTTTAAAAGGAAAGTTAGATCGGCTAAAGCGCACTTCACTGCACTCTTACTGTCAGATTTTTTACGATCAAGTGAACAAAATGCATTTTAAAACAATGGGTAACATTTTTAGCGGTCAATTTACTTCACCAGGGACAAAAAGGCTGAGGAGGCAATTTCCGACATTACAACCGAAGAAAAATAGATGTACTGTCACGGTGCCTACATTTTTAAAGTCCCAGTTCACCAAAAACCCACATTGTCAAGTTTCTCCTGGTTGTTGAAAGAAAAATTTCTTTCCGAACAAATGTATGACATGAAGAAAAACAAATTTACCCATTCGGGACCGACTAACACTGTTTTTAGTCTCCACTTTAAATGGAGCTATGCCCTCACTTCTCACATCCAAACACCGCCTTTATGGAAAAATTCCCCCTTTTCATAAAAGTGGTACCTCTAATAATTGACTGCTTTTGTGTACTAAATTCGATGCTTTTCCAATTTTTGAGAGGTCTCTTGACTCTACCATTTGACAAAATATCACCAAATGAGGTCTTTGGGAGTCGCCATAATATTTTAACAAAGTTGCGTTTTTATTCAAAACCAGCACAGTGTCAACCTACAACGTAGGAACCTTCAACCACGCATTTGAAGGGACTGTTTAGGCGAAAGAGAAATTTTCAAAAAAAGCAAAACCAGAGCCTTTATTTTAGGCAGGCTTTAAACCATGTTTTTGCAGTGAAACACTTAGCCTTTAGAAACTAGCTTAAAATATGCAAACAAAGTAAGAAGCCTTTTACTTACAATTGATTTTTGCCCAATTTTTTAGCCTCAAAGTCACAAAAGGTGACACGAGGAAAGTTTCCAGAGGTGTGCCAATCATTGCCCTGTAGCAGGTCAATTAGCACACGCACCCCATAAAAGGCGGTGTTTGTTCCGATGAACTTCTCCATCAGGATCAACTGCCCAACAATGTTGATGAGATAGAGTCCCTTCACGAAGAAATACAGCACTACGAGAAAGTTGCCGCTTCTTCGTCCACAGCAGTTGTATCCTCCTGGTGCTGATTTTCCGCCTTTACGAGGCACCTCTACCCTCTCTATAGGTGAAGCTAATCCAGCTGCAGGGCTACTTTCAGTGATGGGATTAAGAGGAAGTTTCCTTGACCGCCTTCGTGATGGTCGAGATCCCCAACAGGATCCAAGACCACCTCTAGTGCAATCGCACAAAGATCCGGTAGTTCGCTTGTGTCGTCTTGCTGGGGGAACTCCCAGATTTGGTTCCCCGTTGCTGCGTTTATCACCACCGCTTCTACGCGCCTCCATCTCAGCTTTTGTATACCCGGGAGGAGGTAGATCAGTTTCTAAGGGGAAACGCTGCATGCCACGATAAGGAAAAGCAGAGACGGTACCAGCACATCCAGCACCAGTAGAGAGGACGCGTTTGTAGTCGCGTAGACGGTAAATACAGCCCTCCATGTAGCGAGCAATGAAGCGCACGTTTTTGAGGCCGTGCTCAGGCAGGAGGATATTGGAGTCATTGGCCATCTGCATAATGCGGCGCACGTTGAAGCCGGAATGAGAATTGAAGAGACGCCAAATAAGACAGGGTAGATAGAAAAGGAGGGCTTGGATAGCCATGAGAATGGGCGCCCACTGGTAGTAGAGAATGCGAGCGTTCTCGCGATCTGCCATACTCTGCGGTAGACGCTTAGGCAGGGGTGAGAAGTAGGTGTTCGACACCCAACAATAGTTTTCCGCATACTCTTCCCAACCTCGTGTGAACTCTTGGGGAATCCAACATTGGATTGGTTTGCCTTCAAAAAAACATGGTCACTCATTATGGTGAAATTGTTTTTTTTCTTGTATACACTCTAAACTGAGTTAACTTCTTCAAAAAACGCATCTCTTAAAGAA